TCCGTGTGTGGAGCATCCGTGTGGAGCATCCGTGTGGAGCATCCATGTGGAGCATCCGTGTGGAGCATCTGTGTGGAGCATCCATGCCCCACTCGCTGGCCCCAGAGGCTGGGCCTAGGAGAGGGAGCTGGGGCCACTCACAGAAACAGGCGTCCTGTCAGTAACGGGAAGTGGGAGCGGCTGTGGAGGGGGAGGGGAGGATGTGGCACAGTCCCCGGTTCCCGCGCTCTCCGAGCCTGTGGTCGGAGCTGAGGAACCTAGCCCCTCCCCCGGGCATAGTCCCGCCCCGCGCACATCACCCGGGGCTGGGCTCCTAGCACACGCGTGCTGCAGGCGGGAGACATCACTTGGAATGTCGTGTACTGCGACAGGGAAACTTCAATCCTGCAAAACTGAACTTTCAATGCACAACAAATAATTGTCCTCAAGCTCCAGCCCGGGGTCGAAACCACCTCCCCGCGCACCTGGCGTCCCACCGCACACGGACGGCCGCCTGCAGGCGGTGTGATGTGAGAACCTGCGCGTCCGCTCTCCTCGGGAGCATCTCGCTGGCACGCAGTTTGTTCGGACGCCGGAAGACGGTTCTAGCTGGGGGGGGGGGGGGGGGGGGGGGGTCTCAGTGTTCAGCGCACGTTGAAGACCTGGTACCGAGCTTTCCCTCTGGGTCGTTGGGAGGGATTTGCGTGTCCGGCTCCCGGTCGGGGTGATAGGCGTTCTCCACGGACGGTGCGCTTCCGAGGCTCCCGTCGCGCCAGCGAACACGGAGTTGCACCCAGTCGTGCGCGTCCTAACGCTGGGCAGGCACCTGGAAGCAGTCGGGAGGGTCCCTTTAAGCCAGGGCGTCGGTTTAGAATACGGCCACTGTTCCCCTGCATTCTCGGGTGGGGCCGAGCGGGCAGGCCCCGGGCCCGTGGCCGCCATGGATGGGTGAGGGGGCCGTCGGGTTGGGGTGCTGAGGATCGGGCTCCTAGTTGAGGGATTGAAGAGTTCGGGGCCAAAGCACAGACAGCCATTCCCTGAGAGAAACGAGGAGAAAGTGCCGTTTTCAGGGCCCCGGGAGCGAGAAAGGCAGCCACGTTCTGCTCGAAACTTCCGTAAACCCGGCCGAGGACGCGAGGACCGGATTATTCGGTTTTTTAGTTTTGTTGCTGGAAGATTCGAGCCTCTTCCCTGAGGAAAATGACACTTGAACCAGCTCATCTCTCTCTCTCTGTGATAAATTGTTCATTTGTTAAATTTTTTAAAACTTGATTTTAGAGAGGCGGGGGTAGAGGGAGTAACATCGATCGCTTGTGTCCAGTATGAGCCCCAATCGGGAATCAAACCTGCAACCTTTTGGTGCACGGACGATGCTCCAGCTACCGAGCCCCGGCCAGGGCTAAACTGCTCAGCTGTAGCTGGACGTTAGTGATAAATGCGTTCTGTTTCGATTTGAGTTGCTGCCCAGATCCACCCCCGCCCCCTGCCCACTGTGTCTGTGCTCGACAGAGTCCGGACCTCCTTCCCCGTTGGCCTCAAGCCTTTTGAGGAAGAGCCTGGTCTCCTTAGGACGGATGGACGGACGGACGGATGGACGGACGAGGACGGGAAGTCAGCGGGGGTGGGGAGCACGCCCTCCCCTCTCAGGAGCCTCAGCTTTCCTGTTTTGCTCTGTTTCCAGTTGCCCTGAGCCTCGTGGGACAGGCGAGATGGTCCCGCGTGTCCCCATCGAGGCTGTGCGCTAGGAGGCCCTGTCCTAAGGCTCCGCCTCTCAGAGCTGCTGGCGCCTGGGCCTAGCGGCGGCAGCATGGCCCCAACTCTCTAGGAGCCGACGTGTGGCTCCCCCCATCCAAGCCTCTCCGCTCCCCTGGAGGCGCCAGAAAGCCAGCCATCAGCACAGCGGCTGGGTGTGCCCGGGTGTTTAGGGGGTGTCTGATGGTGTGTTTAGGGGTGTCTGATGGTGTGTTTAGGGGTGTCTGATGGTGTGTTTAGGGGTGTCTGACCTGGTGTGTTTAGGGGTGTCTGATGGTGTGTTTAGGGGTGTCTGATGGTGTGTTTAGGGGGTGTCTGACCTGCTGTGTTTAGGGGTGTCTGATGGTGTGTTTAGGGGTGTCTGATGGTGTGTTTAGGGGGTGCCTATTCAGCTCTGTGGACTGAGACCCTAAGATTCCACTGATGCAGCCCCGACCCCTGAGCCAGCGCTGACGGCCAGGTGCCCGGTGAGTGTCTGTAAATTAAAGCGTTTCTATGGGTTGCCGAGGAGAGGCCGTGTGGGCCATTCCGTGGTGTCCGGCCACCCGCTGGCCGTTTCTGGGTCCATGTGGAAGCACCGAGCAGGGAGGTGGGCGTGGTGATAAGGGTCCCTCACACTCACCGGAGGAGTGGGGTGGGGGGGGCTGGCACCCGCCTCCCGCCTCCTGATGGCCCCCTTCCCGCCAGGATGCTGGGGGCTCACATGGAGGCCAAGCCGCTCACGGACACCAGCTGCCCCGAGGACCCCCAGGCCGGGACCGACCCCCAGGAGACGGCCGAGCTCCCCAGGGAGGACAGCGGGGCCGCGGAGGTGCTGGTGAGCCGGGCGGTGCTGGGGCCCCATCTCCGGGCATGGGGAACCCCATCCCCAGCCGTCCCCCGTCCCGGCGTGCGGTCTCCCCCTCCTCCTCTCGCAGGGCTTTAGTGCTGCTCCGCGGGGCTGCTCTGCAGGTCGCTGACACCCGCCTCTGTGGGGGCCTGCGGAGCTTCACCTCCCGACGGGGAGAGGCAGCGCCCCGACCCTGCCACCAGCTTCGTGCCCCATCCAAGAGGAGCGCAGCCTTAGCGACTGGGCCGGACACGGCGGGGCGTTGACTGACTTCACTCGTCCCACCAGCCCCCCGGCCCCCCAAACTCTGCAAGCTGCCCACCTGACCTCTGAGCAGAGTGTCTGCGCCTCCCCACACGGTTTCTGAGTGTAGACGACCCTGTCGTCCCCGCCCACTGAGTGGCCTGTCCAGTGGCCGTGGCCACACCGGGCGGGACTGTCCCTTCTGGCCACGCTGTTTGTCCTCCAGACACAGGGGCCAAAGCAGGGCCCTGGGAGAGCTGGTGTCGGGGGGAAAGGCCGAACTCCAGCCTCTAAACCGCGGCCGTTACCACACGACCGGGGAGTCCGCTCCTGCTCCCGGGACTCGGGAAGCGCCGGCCCCGGCTGTGGTCATAACGGTGCCGAGTGTTCATGCGCATCCGCGATGGGCGAAGCCACGGGAGGCGAGCCCAACGCTACGGCCGGTGGCCGACGTCACCTGCTGCCCTCTGTGGAGTAACGCGAAACAAACTCCACTTAGTAATAAAGATGGAGCCCTGGCCGGTCTGGCTCAGTGGATGGAGCGTTGGCCTGTGGACTGAAAGGTCCTGGGTTCGAGTCCAGTCAAGGGCACAGGCCCGGGTTTTGGGCTCGATCCCCGGGGGGGGCGTGCAGGAGGAGGCCGATGGATGATCCTCTCTCATCGTGGATGTTTCTCTCTCCCTCTCCCTTCCTCTCTGAAATCAATAAAACATACGAAAAAACAACAATAATAATGAAGGTGGATGCAGGCATTAGTTCCACTCAGCTCCTCACGGCTGGAGGCCCGGCCTTGGCTGAGCGGCCCGGTGCCAGGGCCGGGCCTGTGACGCCGGCCTGTGCTTTCTCTTCCCGACAGCGGTTACAGCGGCAGGTGGCCGGGCTG